TCGCTGTGGGGTCAGTGTTTCTCTCTGCTTTGAAGGCTCTAGAAGGCAGGCCGAATGTGATGGCTACATAGAAGGCAGCTGAGCAGGGATGCTGGCTCCAAGAGTAGCCTCAGGTGGTCACAGCATCACAAACAGAAGGAGAGACTGTGCCCACCTTTCCTCAGTAACAGTGTCCTGCTTAGAAGAGCTAAGAGAGGCAGCCACTTGCCCTGTGGCTCAGGGCAGATATGAGAAAAACAAGAGCAAGTGCAAACACATATTCCCCATGCCACCTTGTGGACAACCAGCTTTTAATTCTGCATATAAAATATGCCTACAGTCTCTTTCTTAAAAACCCCAATAATCCTTTCTGATCACCACATCCTGTGCTGGTTCCTGTCCTTACCTCACAGGAGAGGGGTGGATTGGGGTCTCTAAATAACTGCGGCAAGGGAGCAGGGAGGAGGAAGGAGGTGGGACCCTCCCTTGTCCTGCCTCAGTGCAATCTCATTCCCCTCCAAGAACTCCAACAAGGTCCATGACTACACCCCAGGCCTGCAGCCTACCTGAGCCCCTGCCCTGCAGAACTGGCTGTGATGACGGGATATAGTAACCACAGTGTTCCTGTCCTGTGGGGCACTTTGTGATGACACTGACCACAGAAACAGAGTGCTCCCTGCCCTTCAGAGCTGGCTGTGATGACAGGACACAGGGACAACACAGCAGCTTCTTCATGCCCCTTTATTTTCCACATGCCTTTTCAAAATGACTTACTCTTTCTCCTCTTCCTTCCCCAGCAGGGAAGCACCCCTAACTTGCTTTCCCTCTGAACGTGTGGGCTATATCCAACATCAGGAGCTTCTCACAGAGCCTCAGTTCTACACAGAACCCTTCCAGGATACTTAAAAGGGTCCTTGCCTGTCCCAAACTAGAGACACTTTCTAAACTGCTCTTCTCAGCAAATGACAAATCCACCCTCTGATACCTGAACCCTGGGGTCTTCCCTTCTTCCTCATCCTGTCAATCATCAAACCTTGGCAACTCTTCCTTGTCAATAGATGAAGATGTTCACCCATCCCTGCTAGGCCCACCCACTCTTCTGTCCCCTGTCACTGGCTCCACTAGCCTCTCGGCCTCCCTCTGGCCATCCCACAGAGAGCACCTAGAGAGACTTTTTTACCACTTAGATCGGCTCTCAGTTCCCTGCTTGGAACAGTCCCCAAAATGACAGCCATGCTCCCCCTTCTTAAACTATTAGATGTAAATTGAAAAGACTGTCTTAAGAGACTCACACAAGGCAATAAACACTGTCCTTGCCTCCATCCCCTCTGGCTATCTGTCCCTTCCACCTGCCCCTCTGCCTATTCCCTCCTCTGTCCTCTCTGTCTCCTTCATCTATCCCCTCCATCTGTACTTCTTCTGCTCTATCCTGTCCTCTCTGCTGCTTTTCTACCTGTCTCCTCTTCTATCTCCTCTACCTGTCTCCTCCTCTATCTTCTCTACCTGCCTCTCCTCTACCTGTCCCCTCCTCTGTCCCCTTTGTTTCTCCTTTTCTCTGTCCCCTCTGCTTGTCCCCAGCTCTGTCCTCTCTGCTTGTCCCTTCCTCTGTCCCCTCCTTTTGTCCCCTATGCCTATCCCCTTCTCATGTCCCCTGTGCCTATCTCTTACTCTGTCCTCTCCACAAGACAGCAGCACTCTGGCAGTACTCTGGCTCAAGGGAGCGCAGCCACAGGAGAGAGGGTATAATCAGCAAACAACAGGACTCCATGTGCGTTTTCCTTCTCAGCAGAGTCCCTGTCCTGGGTGTGGTGTGTGAGCTGGGACCCTCTGTCCTGGAAAGGCAGGACAATCAGTGCCAAGCAAGTGCCCATCAGAGGGCCCAGCAAGAAAGAGGGACAAAGAAAGTGGATCTTCCACATCACATCTGGGTACAAGTAGGAGTTAGGAGGGGATTCAGCCTGGGGGTCTGACACAGGATTTGCAATGGGCACTGAGGGGATAAAGGAGCCATGCTCCCCTCTCTGAGTCCCCAGGGAGCCAACGGATCCTTGGGAAGATCTGTCTGCAAGGGCCCAGTCTAGCCAGGTCAAGACATAGGCGCCAGCCATGCCATGTGGGGAACTGGGTCTCTGCTGGCCACATCTGCTCTAAAAACAGAATGGTCATGGCTGAACCCAAGTCTATTTCTGTGACCTCGTCACTGGAGAGGAATGTGTGACATTTCAGCAAAGCGGGGGTGCAAGCAGCCAACACTAACTGTTTGGCTTGGCAGCCTCCGGCACATCTGAATTGTTGAAACAAAGGCTGCAGAAACCGGGTCGGGAAATAGTTTACTGGAGCAAATCCTAACAAATTTCACAAACCATTTATCATCTCTTCTCCCTGCCTCAACTCACAAAGACGGTAAAAGAGGTGAAGGCAGAGGACCTACGGAAATGTAGCCCTGGTCAGACATGAGGACGTGGCAGGGTGTGACAGGGCCTGCAGAGCCAGGGTCTTGATGTGCCCAAAACGGCCTTAGGGGAGCTGCAAAGACACAGGTCTGAGTGACCCCAAGTCTGGAGGCTCCCTGCAGATGGACTCACAGGCCAGACTGATCCCATCTACAATGACCCCAACCTGATAAGTGTTCACAGAGCTGCCTACCTGGGACAACCAAGCATCTGAGCCCACCCACACGATTCAAATCCACCAGCTGCTCCAAGGGAGAAAGGTAATCTCCTTCCGTGTAATTCACTGCCCCTGAAAATCCACTGCAAGTCAGCTGTGCCTCAGCTCTGACCAGATGGTACACAACAGTGAAGGGAGTGGGAGGGACACCCTGTTCTGCTCCCTGAGACATTATTCAGCCTGCCTGACCTGAAGAGCCCACACCAAAAGTGAAAACACGCCATGACCCCACTGTGATCAGTGTCCCACACAGTAATCCCACTGCAGCTTGTGAAATGAGCACGTTCTCCTGGGACAGGGCCGAGGACTGAGAATGCCAAGCCACAGACTACAGGAAGAGGCTAAAAGGGCAGCGTTCACTGGCTTGATTGCAGTACGCCTCCCAGGAGCTCTGCTGTGGTGCGTTATGTGCTGTACTACCAAGCAAAGGGTCAGCAGTTCAAATCTAAATGCTCCTCAGGACAAAGAGGAGACCTTCTCTTTTGATCAAGATCGACAGCCTCTGACAATGACAGAGTGTTGCTACTGAGTGGTAATCAGATGGGGTCTCTTCTGGATTTTTGTTTTGTTTTCAGAAGTGGTCCAGCCAGTCTTTGTGAATAGCCCCACCAGCACAAACAGACACGATGGACAGTGCTGGCTCCACTCAGAGTCAAAAGACCACGTGGCAGGGCCTCTCTCAGCAGCTGACCTCGGGGGCTGGCCTGCCCTGGTCCCAGAAAGCCATTTGCGGCAAGTTAATAATAGATGTAATGTCCCATCCTGGAAACAGATGACTCGGAAACACTTAACAGGGTAAATTCTTAAGAGATCAGATATTCTCGTGGGTCGCTTAATGAGCTTATACCTGGAGGCAGATTTAATGGTTCTGAGTCCTCAGTGTCCTCATGGCCAGGATATCACTAAGCACCAGGCCCAGCAGAGTGCCAGGCGGGCAGCTTTCCGGCCCCTGCACACCAGGCACAGGGTGGCCACCAACATGCCTGCCAGTGCCCCTCACAGCCCGCAGTCCGGGGAGACACCCAGGGGGGCCAGGGCCTGCTGATACCATGGCCATCAGACACGGATTCCAGCCAGATTCAGGAGGCCTGGAGGTGCCAGCTCACTTTCCACCCCACCTCCCACCCCAGGGATGCTGCTCCCGGGAAACCTCCCTTGCCCACCATCCACATCAATCTGCAATGGCAATAAAAACAAGGATGCAGATGTCTGCATCTTTATTTCTAGGACATTTAGGATCCATAGTAGATGCTACACGGAAGGCAGTGAATTAAAGCCATGTCCACCCCCAACCAGCCGAGGACAAACTCCCTGTCCCGAGGCCAGCTCGTCTGCTGGGTGTGTCCATCCTTCTAAGTGCTGGCTGTGCTGCCCTTCTAAGCCCTTGGGAACTAGCTCCCTCCTCCCTGCACCACATCCCCTCCATCCTCCCCACCCCAGAGTCTCACCAGGATAACATCCTGCCCTCCCTACTGGTGCGGGAAGGGACACAGGCATGAAAACCCCAGAGGGCTGGACCCCAAAGGGTGAAGCCATGACCCAGCTCCTGGTCTTAGGAGCACATCCCAGGCACACAACCACTTCTGTTCCCCAACTCCCACACTCACTCCAACTTTCAGAAATGCCTGGCCCTATCTTTCTCTTCTCTCGGCGACATGTGCCTACCTGTGGTCTTCTACCAGGACAACCTTTGGTAGAAATAAACCTACATCTACCAAGCCAGATACTCTTAACAACTCTATAAACGTAATGTTGTTGCTGCTGTTGTTGTTTTGTGCCACTGAGTCAGAACCAAATCACAACTGAGCCCCCAGTGGTTTCCAGAAGTTGTAAAGCACCCGGGAGGAAGGAGACTGCCCATTTTTCTCTGAAGGAGCAGCTGGTGGATTTGAAACCATGTGGCTTTGAATTGGCTGTACAACTCCTTACTCACGAGCCCACCAGAGTCAGGGATAATAAAAGAATGACCCGGAGAAGGGAGCTAGATGACTCAGTCAGCTAATGTCACTAGACAGTAATCGGCAGCCCTCACAAAGCTTGTCTTTGGAGCCACCAGGATGCTGAATGCTGGAGGGGCAGAGTGATGCTAGGAAGGTCCAGGGAGGCTGTCCCCCATTCCCTGATCATGGGCACCTCCGAGCCAGCCGAGCACTCCCTCCTGCTCGACACACTAATACAGAGCCACACAAAGCACTGTCCTAACTCCCAGCTGTCCTCTCCTGTCTCGTCCACAGCAGCATGTGAATGCCTCCCGGGGGCTGCCTCCTAAGTCCATCGATGAAGGAAGAAAAGTGCATAATCCCCAATTCTTTTTAAAAAGCATAAATAAATCTAAATTTAATCTGACTTACCCTTGTTTCCCAGGAGAAAGGGGCTGAGTGTTCATCTTGCCAAGTTATGTCCTGAAATAAAAAAGCAAGAATAAATCTGAAGCCCAAACCAGACATACCACATGCAAACACCCGCCTGAGGCCAAGAAGGACACAGAAACCAGGAGTGACCCTGACCCCAGCTTGGAAATGGTCATCTGGATGTCCTGAGTGGAATGCTCTGGCCTTCTCTACATGGCTTCACCTCCACTTCTCTGCAGAGGCTATAGGGCCATTTCGCATATCCCTTCGTCCACACGGGCCTACAACAGGCTCAGAGAGAGAGAGGAGCAAAAGGGGACAGGGCTTTACTCGTATGTGCAAATGGGTTCAAGTCTCAGCTCTACCCACCACTGGTTGTACAGCTCTCAGCTGTAAAAGAAGAGGATTACTTTTCTTGCAAGATTGTTGGGAAAATTCAGTGAGCCTGCCCAGCCCACTCCTGTGAAACCCAGGTCACCCAAGCTCATCTAAGTCCATCCAAGCCCATTCCAGCCTATCTCAGTCCATCTCATCCCAGCCCATCCAAGTCCATCCCAGCCTACTCCATTCCAGTCCACTCCAGCCCATCCTAGACCAGCTCACCCCAGTCCATGTCAGCCTACCCTAGTCCCTATGAGAACGTTATCCTGACAAATACCTCAGTCTCACTCAGCTATCTGGAGATCTCAATTTCTGAATTAAAAATTGGGACACATTATTTGATAAACTTAAAACACTGAAAAATATTTTTTACTGAAAAATATAAAAAGAATATAAGAATGCGAATATAAGTCCATGCAGCACCCCACCCCAGCCCCTCAGTTACTCATGTCTTTTTTTACCCAAAGTGTTCTCCACCCTGAGGTGGGTCAATGAGGTCTCTCTGACTTTAGGTTCCATCTGTGGATGGGTCATTTCCTTCATTTAGGAGCCCAGACCCACCCCAGCTCAGCCTTGGAGCCCCCAGGGAGCAGGAAACAGCAGGCCCAGACACAGGCCTTATGTTAGCTATCAGTCTTCCAGCCTTGTGGAGACCCTGCCAACTCCAATAAGGGATATGTTTCAGAGTCGTGACGCTGAAGGCCTTTCCCAAGAAAGAGGCAAGAGAAGGGTGGTGTTGAGAGGATGGGTGGTATTGTACTGTTGTTGTTAGGTGCCATAAAGTGAGACAAGTAGGACTCATAGTGACTCTTTGAACAACAGAACTGAACCCTGTCCTATTCTGAGCCATTCTCATCATCCCTGACATATTTGAGCCCATTGCCCCAGTCACTGTGTCAATCCATCTCATTAAGGGTCATGTTATCTTTACAGAGAATTTCTTCCAACTTTCCAAGCATGCTGTCCCTTTCCATGGAATGTTGTTGTTTGCCGTCAAGCTGGAACCAATCCATCGTTAACCCTCCAGACGGTTTTCAGAGGCAGTAACTGCAGTAATGGCAGAGGAGATTGCCCATCCTTCTCCTGTGGAGCATCTGGTAGATTTGAACTGTATGCCTTCAGGATTGTAATGCAGCTTCTTATCACTAGGCCACCAGAGCTTCCTGTTGTTGTTGTTATATGCCACCGAGTCAACATCGATTCATAGTGATCCTATGCACAACAGCTCTGAGTCCCACTCTATGCTGAGCCAATTTCACTGTCTCCAACACACCAACTCCCATTACTCCAGTCACTGAGTCAATCCATCTCCTCCAGGGTCTTCCTCTCTTGTGCTGTCCCTCCACTCTTCCATGCATAACGTCCCTCTCCAAGAACTGGTTCCTCCTTGCAATATGCCCAAAATATGTCAGATGAAGCTTCAAAATCCTTGCCTCCAGGAGCAGCATGGTTTCAGCCTCTCCAGGACAGTTCTGTTTGTTCTCTTAGCAGTCAATATGTCTTATTTATGTTCAATAGTTTCTCCAGCACCACAACTCAAAGGCATAGATTCTTATTCTATCATCCTTAGTCACTGTCCAGCAATCTGACGCATAGCAAGTAATTGTAAAGACCATGGACTGGACCATGCACACTTTAAGTCTCTAGACTGAATCATTGCTCTTAAGTACTCTGGAGAGGTCTCTGACAGCAGATTTTCCCAACGCAATTGGTCTTTTGATTTCTTGGCTGCGAGTGTCAAAAGTGTGACTGTGGAGTCAAACCAGCTGAAGTTATTAACGATCTCAATCTCTTCACTGATTATTATGATGTTGCCAATTGTCCCAGTGGTGAGAAATCTTTGTTTTCCTGATGTTGAGCTTTGATCCATATTGAAGGCTTCAGTCCTTGACATTCTGCAGCAAATGCCTCAGGTCCTTCTCAGTTTCAGTAAGCTAGGTTGTGTCATCTGCATAATGCAAGTTGATGGGTCTTCCTCCAGTCCAGATGCTATATTCCTCTTCATAGAGTCCAGCCTTCCAGAGGATCTGTTCCACATAAAGATTGAAAAGGTATGCAGATAGGATGCATCCTTAGCCTACACCTTTCCTGATCCTGAACCATTCAGTGTTCCCTTGTTCTTTTTTGACGACTGCCTCCTTGTTCAAGTATAGGTTTTTCATAAGCACAATCAAGTACTCTAGGATTCCCATTCTTCTCAAAGTCAGCCACAGTTTGTTGTGATCCACACAGTCAAATGCCATTGTATGTCAATGAAACACAGATATACATTCCTCTGGTATTCCCTGCTTTCAGCTAAGATCCATCTAACATTGGCTATAATGTCCCTAGTGCCATCACCCCCTTCCAATCCTTGCCTACACATCTGGCAGTTCCCTGTTGAACTGATGTTCCAGTAGTTTTTGGATAATTTTCAGCAAGATCTTGCTTGTATTTGATATTAATAATATTCAATAATTTACACATTCTGTAGGGTCACCTTTTTTTGGAATGGGAATAAATATGGATCTCTTCTAGTCAGTTGGCAAAGTAGTTTGCTCCAGATTTTTTTGCACAACCTGGTTGTTGCATCCAGAGCAGCATCTGTTTGTTGAAATATGTCAATTGGTATGCTGTCAATTATTGGGATCTTGTTTTTAGCTAATTCTTTTAGAGCAGCTTGAACTTCCTTCTTTATCACCATAGGCTCTTGCTCATATGTTGTTTCATGAAAAACAAGCCAAAAGTATAAGGAGTTGAAGCTTCACCATTCTTGCCTCTAAGGAACACACTGGTTGCACTTTTCCCCAAAATTTATCCGTTTGTTCTTTCAGTGATCAGTGGGATAGTCAGGACTCTTCTCCAGCACCATACATATACACATACAACTCAACTAATTGCTATAGAGTCAGAACTGACCCATAGTTGACCCTCCAGTGGGTTTTCAGAGGCTGTAGATCACACAGGAAGAGACTGCCCATCTTTCTCCCTCTGAGTAGCTCGTGGATTCCAACCACCTGCTTTTGGGTTAGGAGAGCAGCTCCTTACCCACTAGGCTGTCAGAGCTCCACACACATAAATATTATGTTCCATCAAGTCAGAACTAACCCACAGCTGACCGTCCTGTGGGTTTTCAGAGGCAGTAAATCACATGGGAGGAGCTTGCCCATCTTTCTCTCATACATGTGAATGTGTGTTGCTATTGTTGCTGGATGCCGCTGAGTCAAGTACAACTCATAGGGACCTTATGAACAATGGATCTGAACCCTGTCTTGTCCTGTGCCACCCTTCCATCCTCTTTATCTGTGACACACTTGAGCCCATGGCTGCCATCACTGCGTCAGTCCATCTCATCGAGGGTTTCCACTCTTGTGCTGTTCTTTCACCCTCCCAAGCATGATGTCCCTGTGTGTGTGTGCGTGTGTGTGTGTGTGTGTAAAGAAAAACTATTAATAGTGGTTGTGGTTGTTGTTGTTATGTGCCGTCAAGTCGTTCCCGACTCATAGCGACCCTATGCACAACAGCCCTAAACCCTGCTCTGTCCTGCGCCAACCGCACTGCCTCTGACACACCCATCCCGATTACCCCAGTCACCGAATCAATCCATCTCATAGAGGGTCTTCCCCTCCTGCGCTGTCCCTCCACCCTCCCAAGCATGATGTCCCTCTCCAAGGACCCGTCCCTCCTGGCAACATGTCCAAAATATGTCAGACGAAGCCCCAGAATCCTTGCCTCCAAGGAGTAGCTTGGTTTAATCCTCTCCAAGATGAATCTGTTTGTTTTCCTGGCAGTCCATGGTACATTCAGTACTCTTCTCCAGCACCACAGCTCAAAGGCATCAACTCTCCTTCTGTCCTCCCTAGTCATTGTCCAACTCTCTGATGCATAACAAGTGATTGCAAAGACCATGGCCTGCATCAGGTATTATTTATAAATACTAAGAATTGCAAAAGGCAGGATGTTAGAAATTAGGTTGAGCTTAAAATAATAACATTTTCATAAAAGAAGCAGAAACATCAATTACAGTCATGTTTGAGAAGCACATGCTGTGTGTAACTAATTACCACATTATAGTAAGCTTCTTCCCCTCATAAGGACATCATACTAATCTTCATGTGATATTGTGATTACAAACCTGATGTCCGAAGGGGTTTCTATCATTTCCTATCAGCCGTGGTTGTCAGACAAGACTTTTTAAAGTTGGAAGAGTACTGAAAATATCTCAAATTCCCTATTCTCAGACTCTCTAAGTTCCTCTTCTCAAAAACTCAAACTCACTGCAGTCCAGCCAGAGCCAACTCGCCACTGGCCCTGCAGCAGGTCTTCAGAGGCTTCAGATCACACAGGAGGAGAGTGCCCATCTTCCTCTCGTGGAGCAGCTGGTGGATTTGAACTGACTGCCTTTTGGTTAACAGTGTAACTCTTTTATCCACTAGGTTACCAGAGCGCTCTAAGAAACAATAAAATAAAACCAAGAAAGATTTTTTTTTCATCCCTCAGATGGGACAAAGGAGGCTAAAAGAGTGTCAAATACCATTTACTTTAAATTTGAGCCAAGGGAAGAGGCAAGAAGTCACATAATAAACCTGGCCCTTCCAGTCTGGTGGGCTGGTCCACTGGCCAGCTCTGAGGCCGACAGAAGGTGGGGTACCAGGGCTGTGTGGTAAGGGCAGGGCACCACATAACTCCCT